TCCCGGCTCCCTCCTGCACCTTCAGGACCGGCTGCAAGCTCCCGTCTTAGCCATACTAAGAAAAGCAAAGCCTAAACCTCGATTCTCTCAAAATTATTAAGTCAATTTACATTTCTTTCTTTGCCAAAGGCTCCAAATGAATTTTTGCACTTATGTGTGTCATTTTAATATTTGCATTCAACCCCAGCTTCCTTAATCAGAATCTGTTGTCCCCAAATTCATAGAAATTGGTCTCACCGCCTCCTGCTAGGAAGCCATTCCCCTGTTTACTCCAGCACCTTCCTTGGAGCTTCTGGTCGGTCGGTCTGTCCTCGCTGAGCCGTCGGCAGCACGGGAAGATCACCTGGATGGACCTCGGTGTTGCCGTCTAGGCCGCCTGTTCGCCAGGTAATCTCCACGCCAGACTAGGCTACCGGCGGCGATAAGCAGCGCCGGCTGCACTGCCTCTCCTAGTACTGCACGTGTTCCTCTTACCTGGCTGATCACTCCTTGTGGCTGAAATTTTCTCCAGCCATACGTTCCTCAAGGTTTAAAGGTGCTACGGGGAGAAAGTGGGTCTTGTAAGCGCCAGCTCCACGTAAGCGAGGGGACCAGCTTTTTCCCAGTGAACCCTTGTCTGCAGCAAACAGCGGCATTGCCACACGCCACACACAACCGAGTTGTTAGAACTGCAACTTGAGGATGTTGACAGACCAGGGAGCTTCCACAGGAGGGTGATTAGTGTAGTGGGCGCTCTAGAAACCAGGGCACAGGGAAAATGTGTGAAAGTTAGTGGTACCTGCGAGGCAGGGTGCTAAGGGCTTTAGTCAGTGTTCACTCAGATGTTCACTGAGAACTCGCTCCATGCCCGCTACTCCCTGCGCCAGGCCCTTAGAATACAGTTGTGCACAGACAGGTAAGGGCTCTGCTCTTACGGAGCTCTACCGCCGTCGGTTAAGTCTCACAACAGCCTGTAAGAAGTGTTACACTGTCATTTCTTTTGCTGAGAAGCCGAGGCACAGGATGAAGTAAACGGTCCGAGGTCATAAACTGCTAAAGGATAGAACCTCGCACCTTTCGGCCAGGGTTTCTCCTTTGAGCCGTGCAGCCCACGTATGATTTGAGCAACTATTTTCTCAGTTTTCCCGAGGATAGCACATAACACACTGTTGTAGATATGTAAAAAGATGTTAACATAAGATGATGGATGCCTTAGGCTGGACATTATGCTGACCCATGGTCGGAGAGGCATCCCAAAATTATAAGCGAAGAGTGTGGCAACCAATTAACCTCTCTCCCTTCTTCCCCTCTCTCTCAAAAATCAATGAAAATGCCTTTGGGTGAGGATTTAAAAATAAATAAAAATTTTTAAAGTTCACTGTGTCTTGTTTGACTAGAGGAGACTTGTTCACACAAATGCTGCATCATTTTAAATCTGAGACGAGTACTAAGTTCTCCGTGTTCTCACACCTGCGCGGGTGTCCGAGTTATAAGAAGACTGCAGGGGAGCCACACAGGCCCCTCTCGAGACAACGCGAAGCAGGGACAGCTGAGTTCCCCAGGGGCCGTCTGCGCTGTAAGAATTCATACACAACGTGACTTTTATTTGACATCAGTGGTTGAGTATAGCATAATGTCATTCTAAAAGATGAATTTTCTAAGATTGATACAAAAAGTAGTCCAAAAAGTGAAGACTTATGTAAGTTTTTAAAACCATTGTAACTTTACTTGTTTTTGCTGCCCCTTAAGTATGACATAATATTAAGCTCCTGCCCAGCCCGAGTTGGAGTCCTGTTAGAATAGTGTTTCCTCTACTAAAACCCTTAAAAAGAATGCCCATGGGGGGAATAG